ACGTTTTGTTTTAAAATTTTCCATTTAATAAATCGAGGGGCTCGCCATCTTGCCGCTAAAAAATGCCAAAATCTTAATCAGGGAAGGGGTTTTGCTTGAAAATTGTTATAGAAAATTGCCTTTTTTTCTACGGAGAAGTAAGATGAATATGGTTTAAGGTTCTGATTACTGATCAAGACATTTCCAATCACAAGTCTAACAACTTTTAGTAAAACTGTTTGACACATCAATATATGCCATTAATCTTGCTGAGACAATGATGCTAATAAAGTCCCCATTTTTTTAGTCTTCTTAATACTAGACTAATATTCTGCGGAAAGGAAATCAATCTTTAGGAAGGGTGTAAGTTGTAAAACCACTTGAGATTATTACTTTTTTAATTCTCCTTGGCTACATACAAATAGTACGATAGAAGTAGTCAAACAAATCTCTTTTTTAATGAAGCAGCATCAATCGCTCAGCCTAAGCTTCAAGCTCTTCAAGTTTGTCAAGAAAAATACTTTTGCCCATCCATGATCAACTATGTCAAGCCTACAAGATATCTAGCTGATAAATCTTCCATTTTGTTTTTTCTCAAATGGTAATATACAAAGCTTTGGGTTTAATAAGGTCCAACCAAAATTCAGATGCAAATATATTGCTGTACTTTACCAAGCTCCAATTTCCTACGTTAGGTACGGCAATAAAGCTGTGTAAAATGGGTTGAAAGTAAAATGCGTTTACCAACACCCAAAACCAAAATCTACCTTTGATAGGTTTAAAACCAAAAGCTACAAATGCAAATTTTAGAAAAATAGTTTTGGGTTTTATTAAAAATTCATACTTAAAATTTCAAAAGTCAGTTTTACCAAACAAAAAACTTTTCTATCTTTTCAAAATGATAAGACTTTTTACAGTTATTTTTACCAAACATCAACAATTTTTTATTAAAAACGCTTTCAAAATTCACTGTACAATCTACAACCCGCCTAAACCCCCTACCTGTCAATATAAAAATTGTTTTCCTGCAACCCGTGAAATATTTCTCAACACCATAATCTCATCACCAATCATTAGAACGAAAAATGCAGCAGAATAAAACATAAAAATCGTATTCTTGTCAAATTTGGACCATTCTTCACTTATTAAAAAATTGTGTCATCCCTAAATTTCTTTATGCAACAGAAAATAAAACCCATGTCATTAACCCAAGAAAAAAATCACAAGAACAAGTGTGTGTAAAAAACATAGAGAGAAAGGAGACGTACCCAGAAGCATCATAAACGTTCCTGGAAATCCGCATCTTCTTCTTGACACCTCTATACAGCTCCTCCAAGCTACAAGGCAATAAATTCTCTAGAGCTGCAGCCTTCCTCACCTCCCCACCATTATTGTTATAATTGTGACTATTAGCATTAAAAGTATAATTACTATTACTCCTAAAATACCCGTTCCTAAAAGTCCTATTCCCTCTCCCAGCTGCACCCGCAGCGCCACCATTACTACTACTCGCAGATGTCTCGGATCCGAACATCTCGGCGTAGATATCCTCGGCGTCCCTGGGGTTAAATCGGAATGACGAGGGATTGGGATGAGGCTGCCTATGGTGAGGGTGATTGTAGAAATGGGGACCACGAGAAGGGGATGGGGCGGCGGGGGGCGGAAACTGGCCGGATTTCAAAGCTTCCTCACCGTAGAGATCGTAGATCTGGCGCTTCTGGGGGTCGCTGAGGACGTCGTAAGCTTCTGAGATCTGCTTAAACTTAGCCTCCGCTTCCGGGCGCTTTCCGGAGGGGTTTTTATCGGGGTGCCATATCATTGCAAGCCTCTTATACGCTTTTTTCAGATCGTCGTCGCTCGCGTTTCTGTTCACCTTGAGTATGTTATAGTAATCCACGCCCATTTCTCTCTCTCTCCCTCCGTCCCCTTCTCCCTCTTTTTTTTGGTGTGCGTATGAGAGATGTGTCGTGTTTTTGTGCAGAGTGTTTGCGTGTGAATGGTGACGATAGCTATGGCGGCGGCCGGAGAGAAGGGGAAAGAGAGAGAGAGAGATTAGTTTATTTTGGTGCTTGGTTCGAGAGAAAGTAAAAAAACGGAAAAGGAGGGAGGTCTGACGGATATGAGATGATTAGTGGTGGGGACACGTGTCATTCATCTGGACCCCTAAACGTGCGGTTAACAACTTTGATACATTATTTCTCTCTGTCTCTCTCTCTCTCTCTTTTAATATTTTTTAAATTAATTTTTATATGAAATAAATACAAACTATAAAGTAAAAGTAATTATTTAGTAACTTTGATAATAATTACTAAATATTTATTAATCTTATTTTAAGTATAGTTGTGAAAACATTATTAAATATTGTTAAAAAGTAAATTCAAGATTTACAATGCAACCAAGAAAAGATGATTCTTTTCTATTACACTAAACTAGAATGATTTTCTTTAAATTGTGAGAACCCATTTAACAACAACAATTTCTAACTTAAACTTTATTTAGATAAATTTCAGTGATTGTTAATTAATGTATATTAATGACAGTAATAACATGACAATAACACATGATTGTAATGATAATTTTTTTTTACATTTAGATGATGGTATATTAATGATATATTTTTATTTAGATGATAAGATGGTATGATTGTTTTTTTTTACTAAATTACTAATTTACCTATACATATTATATGTAATAATAAATGGTATATAAGAAGTATATAAGGAAAAAAAATTATTTATTAATATAATTATATTTGTATTTAAATAAATAATTATTATTCATAATTAAATTAAAATTTTATATTTAATAAAATAAATAATTATTACATTAATTTAATAAATTTTTAATTGTCAGGACATATATATAATTAATTAAATTAGATGGAGGTATAATGGAAAACAAATAG